TGAACCTACGACTTGATGGCATAAGCTAACAGATGACTTAAAGTGTAGGAAGACTGTTCAGAAATGTTTGGCAAACCGCAGAATGGGGGAAGTGAGGAAACAATGAAAGGAAATCTGATTGTCATAATTATATTCTTAGTTAGGATATGATATTGTTATCCTAAAAGCATTAAACATTCTGTATAATATAGAAAAATACACTAGACAAACCACAAATTGGGTCAAATCTCTACATTTCCTTCTCATCTACAGGAAGCACAGGGATCCCAGAAACATGTTAAGTGACATTATGGTGACAGGTGCAGTCAACCACAAGGGTAGAGTATGGGAAAGTCCCCCAAATCACAACTTTAGCTTCTTCAGCAATCTAATTGCGAAGTAAACAAGATGAGGGGTGGTTATGAGTGCAGATTTATTTTATTTTTTTTCCATAATTTTATTGAGAAACAAATAGCAATGAGACAATTTCAAACCAAATTGGTAGGACAGTTTCAATCATTAACACATTGCATGCATTCTTCCTAGGGGTTAATTGCTGTACAAGATGCGGACATGATATCCTATTTACAGACACCATTAGAACAAATCCCTCTATTCATTAAGAGAAGGTAACTATATATCCTAACCATTTTGAATACACAGATACAAAATGGACATTCATCTGTATCCCTTAAGTGCAGATTTAAAAAGATTTAAAAGATACCAAGTAAGTTCTCTGAGATTTCTTTCCTGACGGGATGGGTGCTAATGTCTCTCTCCTGAATTCTGAGCTGGCCTTACTGATCTTTTTGACTAATAAAGTGTGGTGAGATTGACCCTCGGGGCATCCTGCGCTGGGCATCAAGGAGCCCAACAGCTGCTCGAGGAGGTGTCTAGGATTCCCAAGGCTCCGTGTAAAAAGCTTGAGGGCTCTTAGAGAGGCATGTAGAGGCCAGAGGTGCAGGCACAGATGCAGTCATGTAAAGGATTCTGTCTTGGATCCTCCAGGCCAGACATCGCTAGTGTCACAGAAGGTTCCTTTAGTTTGCTGCACTTAAATACTGACTCACAACACGGCTAGACATCATCAAATGGCTTTTGCTTTGCTCACTAAGTTTCAGCGTGCTTTGTCATGTATCTACAGATAACCAGCATAACATCTAGTATTTTAAGTTGAAAATTATTCTGCTGGTTGAATGTAGTTTTCAGGGAATAAAAGATGAGGGTAAAAAATAAAACACATTGTGGGGGTGTATATGTTTAGTGAGGTAACACCACACTGTGATGATAGTGTTCTTGGACATATAAATTGTGTGAGGAATTAATTTACTTTATTTGAGATTTCAAGCCTAGCGAGTGACAAGAAATTGTTTTAGGAAGAGAGAGAAGAAAGATGCACAATTATTTTTTTCAGTGTGAATGCACATTCCTGACATAGGATTGTCCTGCAGGGAATATGATTAACGTTACAAAGAGGAAAATAAAATAAGTAAGTCTGCTTTTGATCCTGCTGCTATATTTAGCCACAAAAAAGGAGGCAGCTCTCAGGTGGGCTTTTGTCTAAATGATGTTTTCAGATCCAAGTGTAGAGGAACAATATGAAATCTCAATTCTCCCCAACGGTTTGGGGCGAGTTCAGCCCTTGAGCCAGGAGGCCTGGTTCCCAAGGAGACTAATCCCACTTGCTCAGCATTAGCCATCACTGGAGGAAAGAGCTCCGGCCGGGAGTTCTGCAGAGTCCCCCGTGTGAGCTGGAGTCAAGTCCTGCGTGCTCACTTAGGGTGGAGGAGGAGGGGCTGGCCACTGACTTTACTGGAACCACTTGCATCACAGCTAGAACTCCACCCTGAAGAGAGGTGCAGGGGGAGAAACAACTGAGACCACAGGTGGAGGAATATGTCCAACTGAGTTGGGTAGCGGAAGCTCTAAGGACATATTTGATCTGAGGTACAGAATTCTTTCTAGTATAAGTTTTTTTGTTGGTTTAGTGCCTATATTCTGCCATAAACACAATTGCTTTCATATAGCCATGCCTTTTTTTTTTTTGACAGATGTGTAGCACATTTGCTTGACATGCTCAAAATACCCCTTACCTCTTAAATCAAATGTACCTCTAACGGCCTACCCTCCTTTGGGCAGGGCTTGCCCTATCTTTGCACCAATAATGGTATATTTAATTTATTTCTATAGAGACAGGCTTGACATTATATCACAATGGCCTGTTTTTATGTTTTCCTTTCCACCAGAAAGGGTGGGAATCAGACCTTCTTTGCTCTGCATCCCCAGTGCTAGCACAGTGCTGGGCACATTGTGCAAATCAGTATCTTCCTGTTGATCCTCATGAATAAGTGACTGTGTGGATATTTGTATACAGGGATCAACAGTGAATCAGGCTAAGTCATCAGCATGCTGTTGTTGTATGTCAAGGTCTGCAGCTGACAAAGGATTTTTCTTCTCAATCATTGTAGGGGCCGGGGAGATAGCTCAGTGGAATAAGTTCTTCCCTGGCAAGTGTAAGGGCCTGAGTTCAATCCCCGCTTCTAAAAATAAATAAATAAATAAATAAAATAAATAAAAAAATAAAAATAAAAAAAAATATCATGGCATTGACTTAGGCTCGTAGGATTCCGTCCTCATAGCAGGGAATGTCAAAGCTCACAGGATGGTCAGCCAGACAGTAAAGACAGGACCAAACTCCAACTATCAGTTTCTGGCTGTAGTTGTGGCACCCCTCCACTACACTATGTGGACTCGGAAGTCCTGCAAATACAGCTGCTCATTTGCACTCGAAAACAGGCATGCACTTTGTTGTGGGGAAAGGAGAAATGATGCAGCTTTCATAGTATGATGTGTTGGTAAGGGAGGGTTGGGGCCCGAAGAACCAAGGCCATGGACATTCGGAGAGATAGTATCTTGGGCTCAGTCAATGCTTTCATATATAACATCACCCAACAATCTTGAGAAGATGAGATGACCTTCATGGAGCACATGGGAAGAAGGGAAATTTCAACGTATTATTTGCCTGCTATGTAAATCTCACAAAAGTCCCTAGGATAGTTACTACCATTCTCAGTTTGCAGATGAAAAATCTGAACCCGAGGAAGATGAACTGTTTTGTTGAAAGACACTTCCCTAATAATAGGCAGGACTAGGGTTGGAATTTGGCCTCATCTAACTTGAGGTCAGCTGTGCTACAGCACTCCAATTGTCTGCCAGTAAAGAAATCCTTTATACAGCAATCTTTTTCATATTATATTTATTGGGAATATGACTGTGTTGGTATTTAGATAACTCTCAGGGGCTTAAGCAGTTTTTTAAATGTAAGCTGACAAATGTAGAGTCCTGGGCATTGGTGACTAAGCTCTGGGCATCAGTGACTAGACCCTGGGTGTTGCAGCCTGAACAGTGTTGGCATCTTTGAACTCAAAGAGACAAGGTACCCGAGCCAATTTGAATAAAAAGTAACAACTCTGTTCAGCTACAGGGCCATGAGGAGCGGCTCCTGTGCCTTTTAAATTAAGCTCTTCTGCTTTGGTGAGATTGTAATGCTCAAAAGCACTTCTGCCTCAGCTGAAAAATAGGTTTTAAGGAAAAGACTTTAGAAAGGAATGGTCTGCATCTCCTCTGTGTACACTTTCACCTAACCTCTACTCTAAGAACTTGGAGTTCAATCCCCGGTTTCGCCAAAACAAAACAAAACAAAACAAAACAAACAAAAAACCCCAACAACCCCAAAACCAAAAAACTTAGAGAACACCTTGTCATTCACTATGCTTTCACACACGTGATGGCCTTTAATCCTCATGAACCTGGTGACAGAGAAACGTGTAAGGAAGAACAGCCAGCCCTTTGAGCCTCACACAGGTGAGGGGAAGTGCTCGCTGGCTTCAGAACAGCCAGCCAGCAGGGAAGGCTCTATTCAGGAGCTGCTCTTACACAGCCAAGTGCCCTGAGAGCTGGGCCTGCTTACAGCGTTTAACACGGGAAAGCTAAACAAGTGTGTTTTGTCCTCTCGACGGAAGCTGTGTACTCAGCAGATCACAGGGATGTAGAGCAGTGGGGAGCAGTGGGGCAGAGGCAGGAATCCAGATCCTTCGGAATCACGGCCTAATCCACGGCTCCCACGGTCTGACACAGTGCTCAGGTGAAAGTGGTCGAGGTGAACTTCAAGGTGATCTTCCCACGACAATGGCATTTTGAAGGCCACTTAAATTTTGGTAGGCCTGGGAGAGGTTCCCATTCGTCTCTGTCCTAAGGTGCCGAGAGATTCATATACACGCGGGCTTTCTCTCATACAAAAGCTGGCGTAATGAGTGATTTCTTTCTCCCTTGTCTCCTTCTGCCTTTGTACTAATAAGAGATGGGCCAGGTGGTGGCTTCAATTTCCTGTCAACTAGTTGTTACTTCTATTAACTAAGGGGTAGAAGAAAGAAAATCGGATTTGAGAGTCCGGAGAAACTCAGACCGGAACACCTTAGGACCTGGACGAGGGCCATAGAAACGCTAGGTTCGGACCCCTGTGATCAGAGAGAAGGAGAGTTGGTGATTCAGCGAGGCTTTGTAGTCAGACTGAGTTCCTTCCTTTCCTGGATAGTGGAGGTGGCCTTAACAGGTGATTCCCAGGGCTGCAGTTCAAAGATTAAATTAGATAATGCAGGAGACTCAGGTGAACAGCAGCAGCTGGTGCTGAACCCCGCCTCTGGGTCGCTGCCTTCCTCACTTCAGGTCTGTCTCAGGAACCAGGATGTGGTCCTGCAGGAGGCGACCCCATGTTTGGGGACACAGCCCCCTCCTGCCCCTGGCGGCGGGAGCTAGAAAAAGAAACGCTCCGGGGCAAGGGCAGGAAGGGGTTAAAGCTTGAGCAAGCCCAGAAATTAGAAAAGCCCCCAGCCCCTAGGGCTTGCCCCGCCCCCCGCCCCGCCCAGGCCGCGCCCCTCCCCTCCCCCAGGCCCCGCCCCGGCCCCGCCCCGCCCCCTACAAGACCCGTCGAGCTCCCCCGGGAGGCCGAGCCAGGCCCGGACCCGCGAGGAGGCAGCGCCGCGCCAGGCGTCCGGGGCCGCACGATGGCCGTGCAGGCGGCGCTCCTTCGCGCGCACCCCTTCGCGCCCTTCGGCTTCGGGGGCGCCCCGGACGGACTGGGGGGCGCCTTCGGGGCGGCGGACGGGGGCTGCTGCTTTGAGGAGGACGAGCGCGCCGCGTCCGCGGCGGAGGCCACGCGCGAGCTGCTCAGCTTCATCGACTCGGCGTCCAGCAACATCAAGCTGGCGCTCGACAAGCCCGGCAAGTCGCGGCGCAAGGTGAACCACCGCAAGTACCTGCAGAAGCAGATCAAGCGCTGCGGCGGCCTGGCGGGCGCCGCGCCCCCGCCGCCCGCGCCCGACGCCG